GTTGACTTGATTTGGATTTCTTCTTCTTCTTTGCAAACTTCTTGGATGCAGAATTAGAATGATTCCTCTTCTTTTTGGGAGGCGAAATAATTCCCTAGATGTATTTATGATATGAGCATAAAGAAGCACTATTTTCATCCAACTTTGTAAGAATAGAATCCGGAATGATGACTGGTTGTGAAGACCCAGGTTTAGTTGTCGTACGTATCCGGTATGGCGTCATACACAAGAAATGTGGCAGTGGGCATTCAGGAATCCATCCTGCTGCAAGAGTACTGTTATGGATGGCGTCATAAATAATGATTGACCACCAACGAGGATGATGAATCAAAAACTTATTCTTTCATGCAGGGAGGAAATGTGACATCCCCAAAATCTCGGCCAGAAAAGACCGGTTTCATTTATGCTTTTTAAATATTTTCAGAGTAAATCCTTTTGATTTTAAAAGAGATGCAGAATTTGTTTCCAAAAACAAAACATGATAAAATATATTTTTATCAAAACATTTCATAAAGAAATATAATTTCATTTCATAATAAAAAATCGGGATGTCATATTCCGATACAGACCATAAAGCATAAACGACAACATTACAAGTCATTCAACAAATATATACATGTACAAACTTGTAAACAAAACAACTTGACGATTCATCCATCTTATGACCTTGCGCCACTTCCTGTAATGCAAATAAACTGAGTGGGTCAGGCTTGGGGGTCTGGTGAGCATATAGGGTTTTCAACCCATAATAAATGATTATATTTAATTCAACAATCAACAATAACCCGATTACCCATTCCCGTTATCCTCACTTTACGTCCCTAAAACAACATCTATTATAAGGAACCTAATTTAGGATTTTCATCGAGACAGACATTACTGCCGAGGGGCTCCCTCAACAATAAGTTTCCTAAAGGCAACCATGTGGGGAATAGAGTACACCGGTGAAAACATTGTTCACAACACCTACAGGTTATGAGCCTACTAGCATTCTACAGGACTGTCTAGAATAGTCCGTGGTCGTCATCCATACTCTGCTGAATGACTAGAATAACACCAACAACGAGGCCTCTCATCAATTTATTTCATTGCGCACCAACTATCTACCCATGTTCTACCCAACATATTAGTAGATAAAAATATACATGTTTTATACATAATTTAAAAAAAAAACTATATAGCATGCTCTTTCAATACTCCATCCAAATAGCAAGTAATAAGTAAACACATAACAAGAAATTTCAAGGAGAGTCATATAAGTCTATGTGTTAGAAGGTAATAATAATACCCTCACACAACCCGTATTCTTAAATACATTCAACGATTAATTGTATAATATCGTGTATTGAAAGGGACTATACACTCACTTGATCAGAAGATGATCGGGCATCACTATAACTTGCAGAAGTAGTATTCTTCGGTAGATTTGGAAGATCTTCACAAAAACCGGGCTTGATGTGCACGAAAGTACCCATTAATTTTAATATTTATAACCTAACAAACTTAGACTAACTATGCACTTATAGGCAGTGTACTTAGTCAGATTACAGTATAGCTTAGGTAAGTCGGGTGTCGATCACAGGGAACGGTGGATTAATTTAATATATTTAATTATAGGTTATATATCACACGAAAAGAATAATTTAATAAATCTCAAACTAATAATTAATTAACCATTCTCGATAAACTAACAGGAAAAACAAATCTCTTTAGGTACTTTGGTTTAGACAAATTCCACCTTGAAAACATAGACAATTGCATGCACAAATTCATTTATTCATGTTCACCGATTCCTAAATTGATTAGATTCATGTTCACTATAACTAATCCTTTAGCAAACAAGTTAATTCAAACAGTGATCAATTGATTAAACTAACATGCTTCCTAGTGTTCAGTTCGTATCAAGCAAGACTCGTAAACTTAGTTAATTTAAACATTTAATTAACCTCTTGTTGATGGTCATCAAACAAGGCTCACACATTAACTTATTTATTCCCATGTTAATCCTAGTTTCACATTCGTTATTTCTAGTCTTATAATCTCAATGGTCATCAAAAATCATAAGAGACAAGCAAATCAAGCAGGTTTTCATACAACTTAATTCACTCAACAATTAACAGCAAATAATTATCATTAACACATGAGGATCTTTGAACAAGCTTGGCAAGATAAATTAAACACAAATAAATTATTTAACATCACAATTAGTCTAGGAATCAAAACTTCATTCAATCATAAACACAAAGTAAAAGGTTTTTACACCCTAATCAGAAAATAAATACAGAAAGTACCATAAGGAAATGCTAAACATGGTCACGTTAGCAATCCATATGATTACCGACATGTATCCGCTCTCTAATCCTTCAGATCTCTGCTCCCGTTAGCTTAACGGCCTTCCGGCCGCCTTCTAGACCCTCAAAACGGCTTAACAGAAGTTAATTGTCGACTAAATTAGGTTAGGAGTCGAATCCCCCCTCCTGGTTGGCTAAAAATCGACATTTATAATCTCTATGGCCGACCTAAGTACGCTGGGCGTACTAGGAATTACGCGGCGCGTACTCAAGATAACTACGCGATCATGTATATCCGGTGCAAGCAGGTATGCGGGGCGTACTCTTAAGTTACGCGGGGCGTAACCGCGTCCTCAGCCCCCATTTTCTTCCTTTTAGCTTCTAAGCCCGGTTTCCGCTTCAGTCTTTTCTCTTGTGCTTTATTGACAACAAATAGCTGCAAAACATAATTCAAAGCATTATGAGTACTCTTTAGTTCTAAAACATAATAAATAAGGCCAAAATATTAAGATAAAGTGCATAAAAATATATCTAAAAATACACATATCAAAATACCCCACACTTAGCCTTTGCTTGCCCCCAAGCAAATTCACTTTTATTTTACCAATATCGTACTAAACAATCCATTTAAAACTCAGCCATTATGCCAAGACCTCAACGCATGCATTTGTGTCTAAAATTTTCCTAAGTACCCCCCATACTTTAAATACTCACAATCTTCATAAACACTTGCCCACTTTTTCCGAACAATGCTCATTTTATGCAACCCTCCGAATCCATCCTCAGAAAACCTCCTAACCTCAAGGTATTTTTAGTTGAGCAACCTAAGCATACATAATCTAGAATTACAATTTATGATACCACTTTGGAGCTTTCTTTGAATTCTTCACTTGCTTGATAATTTGATCTTGGATATCTTTGAATTCACCACCTTATTGATTTGATTTCTTGGTATCTTCAACTTTTTGGATTTCTTCAGAATTTTGATCTTTTGATCTTCACTTTATTTGCTCCAAAATTCTTCAAACTTTTTTGTAATTCTCTCTGTTTTTTTTTACATGCACCTCTCTTTTTTTCACTCAAAACCTACATGCTTAAGCAGAGGCGCTCAACCTCAACCTTTATTGGTTAAAGATAATAATTTCCCTGGATACATTTCAGGTTTAGGCTGCTAAACATATTGCATCCTTCAAACCGAGCGAGGTTATGTTTTTGTTCCATGATTTCACTAAAATAAGGGAAGCCACAAATGCACTATAACGTATATTGGCTCAACTAAACATTTGAGTTCTCATCGGATCATCTCATACAATATTAGCAAAATTTTAAATTATCACTAGATTTTTCTAAATTAAACTATTATTTCAAGTTTTTTTAAATTTCCCTAAATCTAGCAATTTCTAACTATTATTCCTCGCGGGCTGGGCTTCGGATCAGAAATCTCACTTCTCGGGATCTTCGGGACTTCGGAACTTTCTTCGGGACTCAGGAATGATACCGGGGCTTCGGGATATATAATTGGCACGCAAATCGAGGCAAAAAACTAGAGAGAAGAATGAGTTTAAACAAAAGAAATCGGCAGCTCTCGCATTCTATTTATAGGCTGCTGGGTCTGGGATTACGCTGAGCATAAATCTTGGTACGCTGGGCGTACTAGGCCTTACGTTGGGCGTACGGAATGGATAAGCTTTGGTATGTGTGCCACGGTCTTCAAAAATTCATAGCTTTCGCATACGAGCTCCGTTTCGACGTTTTTTATATCCACGCGTAGGTGAGATTATGCTCTACAACTTTCGTTTAGACTCTGTCAGCTAATTTTGTCTTTATTTTTTATTATTTATTTTTAGTAGTCCGGGACAGAAAATATTTGTTAGAAATTCATAACTTCTTCGTATGACGTCCGTTTTCGTCCCTCTTTCTGTCGTTGCACTACCATTGACGAGATCTTCGATTCTCGTTTAGAAAGTTTCAGCAAAAACTCGCTCGATCTCAACTCGAACTTTTGGGCTACCTACTGCTAAGCTGAAACTTCGAAAAATCATAACTTCCTCATACGAAGTCAAATTTAGGCGTTCTTTTTATGCACGCTCTCGGTTCAACATTATCTACTTTTTTCATGTTGATCACTAAGGCTAAATATCACTCCTTCGTAAATTTACTATTGACGTCACGCTGTGCCACACCGGTTTTGTCGCGAAACTTCAACATGTCATAACTTCTTCGTTATAACTCGGATTTCAGCATTCTTTATATTTTCGGAAACCTCGTCTCAACCACTACATCTTCGTGCATCAATATCGGGTTTATATAACATTTCATTTTTACGCTTATTTTAATTCTTGATTAAATCAAATCATATAATTAACCAGATAAGTATAAAACACATAGTTCGCAAATAATACATTCTTATTATTTCAAATTGGGTTACAAAGGTTAACCTAGACTATTACACTACTAAAAATGGCAAGCCGAGAAACACGGGCGTTACAGAAAATTAAGGAAATCTTCCCAAAGAATAGACATGTAGTCAACATTGATGTCGTAGAAGAGCCCGTACATAAGAATCTAAAGATTTGTTTTACCTTTGCTGCGTCCACCAACTGATCCGAATAGACATCTAGTGAGGACGGAACTGAGAAAGTGCCATGGTGTGGGAAGACAAGATTTCCGAGTTCTTGAAAGACATGGTTCTTTTTTGTCTTCGAATTTCTACCCCATTTCCTTGAACATTGTCAATAATTGAGCAGAAGTTGGTGTGACAAATGTCTGAGGTGTAGGAGGAATATCCCTTAGACCTAAACTGACTGCGAACTCTTCTTTAGTGAGTACCAAAGTAGCTTGAAAAATATTAAATTCAACATCTAGTTGTTTGGACCTTGCTCTTGTGGAGATGATTGCTGACTGAAACACTTCACTGATAAGAGATTGTGGAGTTGGAGAAGTAGAAAGAAGTGCATATGCCAACGAGCATTTATGCAGATACTCAACTATGACACCGACTTCTTTGGGTTGTTCCTGAGTGTTAAGAAGTGCAGTATAGGTGGATGCAACCATTTCAACTTTAGGTGGTGATGAGTGTCTCTTAGTTGAAGGTCCAGTGGCATGAGAGTTTGAAGCCTTATGAGAAGACTTTGATTTAGAAGTCTGACCATCTTCTATGTCAGCCATGTCTTGAAAAAGAATAGAAAAAGAACAAAAATGAAATAAATAAAAGGAATTTTGAGTTAAAGAAATATAGCTAAAAAGAATAGCTTATAATCATAACTAAAAGAGGGAGAGAGGGGGGGGGGGGGGGAATGTGTGAATTTTCATTTACTAAACAAACTTGTGACTTGAGTAGTATTTTTGATTCAACTATGGATAGGAAGAATCTGCAAATTCATTTTTACTAAGTATAGGCCAGAAAACAAATTACATGACAAGTTGGAATAAGAAAGATAGAAATTTATGTCAAGTACAAAAAAAATTGATGTTACTAAATCATAGCAAAAGTGCAAAGATCATGTAAAACTACTAAGTCATGACCTATGATGACTATGTCACATTAAGTGAAAAAGTCTTTAGAAACTAACACAAAATTAGGTATCATAAAGACAACGGTTGACAAAAAAAATATATGTTGATCCGAAAATAAAATATAACGCAATGAAACTAAAGATCACAAAATAGTAAGAGAAGAGAAATTACCTTAAAGAAGATGGGTGTAGGTAATGGACTTGTGAGTATGAAAAGCAAGATATGCACCAATAAGTATAATGCGCATAAGAAATATTTGATCAAAGACTTAACACTAAATAACGTAAGCATGGTATGTGAATATGAGTTAATGATCAAGAAGAAATAAAATAAAAAAAATGAAAAAAAAATTACTCAATCAATATGATTGCAACAAGAGGAGAGGTTCACTTAGAAGAAGTGATAGGTTGATACTAGGGGAACCTGACCATAGGAACATATGTATAGACATGAATCATCAACCAAAGGAGGGGTAACTTTATTATATGAGGATATGTGCACATGCGAAAGAGAAGTTACTTACCAGTTGATGTCTTGTTGAATTAGTGAGTGACAGAGAGATAAGTCAACACAAATGACACAGGAGATATTCAAATCTATGTTATGTCAAGAGGAAAAAAAATTAAAAGGTGTACATCAAGATCACCATAGAGTGTAAAGAAAAGGAATGAACACGTACCTAGAGTGATCAAGGAATGTGGTGCTCAACATAAAAATGATGAAAGACCACGTGATGATAAACACTAAACACATGACAAGTTAATAATCAATGTTAAGTTGACTATGATGTACAAAGAAAAGAATACACATGTAGCATATGATAATGCTCATGGAGTGGATTTTTGATGACCAGGGTTTCACAAAAGAATAGGGATGCTTACCTAGTATTTGAAGATGATCCACTTAAGAGAGGTAGAATGATGATTCTCCAACAAGTAGTTGATAATGATCCAAAAAAAAAAAAAAACTAGGGTTTGTATAAGAAAAAAATAATCTAGGGTAAGAAAAAAAACGTGAATTAGGGTTTAAAAAAAAGAAAGAAAGACTCACCTAGGGTTGTGATTGGCTCAAGAGATGATGATGAGATCAACTGTTGTTGCTGATGGGTTTTAGCCATAAGAACTTTCCTATGTGCGCATGCAAAACCCTAATGCTCGGATCTAGGCTTTCTAATTAAACATGCTTTGAATCCAAGACTTCTAATGGCTAATTAGGTTAAATAACAACATTGAAACAGATCTAGAATCATACCTTTGAGTTCCTTGTTGATCTTGTTGTCTTGGAGCTTCTAGAGTCACAAATGTCACTCCTCTAATGGCTTACAAACACCAATAGCAAGAAAGATGATTTAGGAGAGAGGAGAGGGGAGGAATTCGGCCAGAGTATCTCTACTTTTGATGGTGTATTGTGATTTCTCGAATTCCCTCACCCTAGGGTCTATTTATACTTGTAGACTCCTTAAGGATTACAGCTTTAACCCTAATTGGATAACTTAGACTTTAAGTTGATCCATATCCTTTCCTTGATAACCCTATGGACGATTTTGGCTTATCCAAGCCCTAGAAATCGTCCATCCTATCATGGATAAGGATTTATAGTCTAAAGTGTAACTATCAAACAATTGACAGTTTATACCCTCTTATTTAATTAATCTCTTTAAGTCACCAAATTAATTCCAATTAATCTATGACTTATATTAATCAAATAACCATATATTATTCCTTATAATATTTACTCTCTCTTAACAAATCATCCATCAAGTTGCTATGGTGAAGGCAACCCAAAAGGACCATGCACAACCGGATCAAATACTTGCCTAATATAGTTGCAGCCTTAGACACTATTCCAACAGTCTCCCACTTGGATAAGTCTAGTAACTATACAAGTACAATTCGGTTTGCAATCGTAGCTCTCAAAGACGCTGTCAACTCTGATCTAATCAATCTTGTCCTTTAGATAAGGGATCGTACAGTCCTCTGTTAGATATCATGCTGACAATCCTATGGAATGGTTAGTCAAGCATTTAATTTCTCGATCTCCGATTTATTTGACATAGAACTTAATCAAACACATCAATTCAGTTCTGACCGGGCCCGGCACATAAGTCAAATCAAATCATCGAGTGGCCAAGATATCTCTTCTACCCTCTTAGGATAAAATTTACAGATAAACTTCGACTTATATGCATTTACTTATTCATTAACCAACTATACACAACAATGTGTTTTATAACAACGAGTTACTGATGCGTTTTCGCATTATCAATGTACAATCAATTAACAAATAATAAACCATATATCTAGGTTTTAAGACTATATGATATTATCGTCTTGCGATCACCTTTTATATCGTATTCCATAAGGTGATTCCAGCAAGCGCGGGTTTATTCCAATGCTCAAAACCAGTTCATAAGCACTCATGAACGTTGCAGCAACCCTTGCTATGTCTAACACCATTTAGACATTCTACACACCAATTCATGACAATCTTCATTCATATCTACTCCCAACATATGAACGATTGTGGACCATTTGAATAATTCGATTATTCCTAATAAACTCAATTATTCTGGAAGTCAAAACATGCAAAGTGAAACAATAGTTAAACAATTAACATGTGACAGTAACTTTACTCATAAATAAAACTCCTTTATTTAATCATCAAATGTTAATTACATTTATCTATTATACGTTTCTAATACTATCTAATCTATACTAATATCATCCTTCAGCCCAATACTCCTAGCATGCTGCAAGTGCTTAACCCTACTCAGTCCCTTCGTAAGCGGATCTGCTGGGTTATCTTCTGATGATATCCTCTTCACTACGAGTTGTCCTTCTTCTACACGATGTCTAATGAAGTGATATTTTCTGTCGATATGTCGAGATCTACCATGATCCCTCGGTTCCTTGGTCAAGGCAACCGCACCTTCGTTATCACAGAAAATCTCCATGGGCTCCTTTATGGCCGGCACAACTCCAAGATCACCAATGAAGTTCTTTAGCCATATTGCCTCCTTCGACGCTTCGCTCGCTGCGATGTACTCTGATTCGCACGTTGAATCAGCTACGGTTTCCTGCTTGGAACTTTTCCATGTCACTGCTCCTCCATTTAGGGTAAAGACCCAGCCCGACTGCGAACGATAGTTGTCCCTATCGGTCTGAAAGCTGGCGTCACTATACCCTCGCACCTTCAAGTCATCACTCCCTCCAAGGACTAAGAACCATTTTTCGTCCTCCGAAGGTACTTAAGGATGTTCTTCACCGCAATCCAATGTGCTTTGCCAGGGTTCCCTTGATATCTGCTAACCATGCTCAAAGCGAAGGCTACATCAGGGCGAGTACAAGTCATAGCGTACATGATTGAGCCAACTGCGGAAGCGTATGGTACTCGGCTCATTTCTGCTATCTCAGCTTCGGTACTCGGACTTTGAGTCTTACTCAACTTGGCATTTCCTTGTATCGGTAGTTCTCCCTTCTTTGAGTTTTCCATACTAAAACGTTTTAGTACCTTCTCTAAGTAAGTATTCTGACTAAGTCCAATTAGTCTCTTACTTCTTTCTCTTACTATCCTTATTCCCAAAATGTAAGAAGCCTCTCCGAGGTCCTTCATAGCGAAACACTTCCCGAGCCAGGACTTGACCTCCTGCAGAGTCGGGATGTCGTTCCTATGAGTAATATGTCATCGACATATAGAACGAGAAAGCTTACTATACTCCCACTGGCTTTGACATATACACAAGATTCGTCTTCGCTTCGTACAAATCCAAACTCTTTGACTTTCTCATCGAAGCAAAGATTCCATCTGCGAGACGCTTGCTTAAGTCCATAAATGGACTTCTCAAGCTTACACACTCTATTCGGATGCTTCGGATCCACAAACCCCTCTGGCTGAGCCATGTAAACATCCTCAGCCAACTTTCCGTTAAGGAAAGCGTCTTGACATCCATTTGCCAAATCTCATAATCATGAAATGCGGCAATTGCTAGCATCACTCTAATAGATTTAATCTTCGCAACTGGTGAGAAGGTCTCATCATAGTCAACTCCGGGAGTTTGAGTAAAGCCCTTCGCGACCAATCGCGCCTTATATGTGTGTACGTTCCCATCCACGTCGGTCTTCTTTTTGAAGATCCATTTGCACCCAACGGTCTTACGTTCGGGCACATAATCAACCAAATTCCAAACTTGGTTATCATACATGGATTGTATCTCGCTATCCATTGCCTCTTTCCATTTCGCAGACTCCGGGCCTGCCATGGCTTCCTTATAGCTATTAGGTTCATCAAGATTTACTAGTGTACCATCACTAATATACGTGTCCCCTTCGGTAGTAATATGAAAACCATAAAACTGGGTTTGAACTCTAAATCTATCAGAACGTCTAAGAGGTAAGGATTCGTCAATCGGTTTAACCGGAGTTTCCTCCTCGGGTTGAATGCTAGTAGTAGAGGTTCCTTCATCTATCGACTCTTGAATCTCTTCAAGTTCGATTTGCCTCCCACTGTCTCCTTGGCTTATGAGTTCTCGCTCTCGGAAAACTCCTCTCCTCGCAACAAAGACAACATTGTCTTTCGGTCTATAGAAGAGATATCCACAGGATGTTTGCGGGTAGCCGATGAAAATACATCGCTCACTTCGAGGTTCAAGCTTG